ACTTCCCAATTTCTATATTTCGGGTATAGGTGATAGGAGTCCAAGATCATTACATTACGTTCGTATTTCATTCCGTTTTTCCCAAGTGCTCACTACTACCCTAAAAAAGCAAAAATTTCGGTAATTGGGGGTCTCAATATAGACCCTCCCTAAATATTTAGAAATTATTTGGAAAAACACTGGTATAATTTACATAGTCTATACTCCAATTTACATTTAGATCCCTAACTCTATCATTTAATAATATTTTTTTACAAATATGACAATTTAATGAATCCTGAAATTCAAACTCCTCTTCAGGAGTCATTATGATTGGTTTAAAATTGTACAAGAGAGTCTACAAAATTTGATCCTGCCTTATTACCTGTTTTTATTACAATTTTATCAAGCTTAGATTCAAAGGCACACTTAATTTTATATAATAACAGTCTTATATCTTAGAGCAGCATCCCCAGATCCAGAGAATTCAGAATATGGAAAAAAACTGGTATAATTTACATAGTCTATACTCCAAGTTACATTTAGAATGAGCTGCACTCCTAAATAAACCTGTTAAATGGCAATGATCCATAACTCTATCATTTAAAAATATTTTTTACAAATATGACAATTTAATGAATCCTGAAATTCATACTCGTCTTCAGGAGTCATTACGATTGGTTTAAAATTGTACAAGAGAGTCTACAAAATTTGATCCTGCGTTACTACCTCTTTTTATTACAAATTCATCTAGCTTAGAATCAAAGGCACACTTAATATTATTTAATAAGCATAAGCTATAGGAATATGAGAGTACACGACGAACGGAACCTCAAGCTGCTTGCGAAATTGGGTAAACTCCAGAGTTCGCTTGTGTAATTCCGGTAGCTTGGAGACTTTTCCGCTCAGATCCAGAGAATTCAGACAAAATGCTTTCCAATTTCTATAATTCGGGTATAGGTCATAGTAGTCCAAGATCATTACATTACGTTTGGTGTGTTTGGTGTCATTGGAAAGCCCTTTTCAATAGTATGCTTTATACGATTGTAAGTTAAAAACTGCAACTTTTCATTAAAACGCTTAAAAATAAATTTCCACACCTCCGCGCACAAGCAGATATCAGCACACACTTGAGGGTTGGGGTGAGTTCGCAGCTCCGCGCTCAAGCAGACCCGAGCGCATACTTGTGGTAGGGGTGAGTTTCCAGGTGGACTCGCCCAAGAGATAGCAAAGGGTCATGTCTTTCAGAAAACCAATGGAGGGAGGATCTTATAGAATACCTGACTCAGGCGCACACATACATACCGAGTATCCGTGCATATAAGTATTTAAAATTTTAAAATCAATTCAGCTAAACATAAAACTGATGTATTATAATCAGCCTATGTCCTAGGTTCTAGCTACTAGAAATATCTTAGAAACATGTTCTCAGAAAACAATTACTGCAACGTTACTTGTATCCCTTTTCTCCTTACTTACTGAAATCTAAAAACTCTGAAATTTGAATAAACAACTTAAAACACTGACTTATACTTGACTATGCACTTTACAATTTTATTATGGTGCGTCCATGAACGTATATCGGTTCTCCATATCGTTACATTTTATTACTTTTTTGAACACGTGCACTGATTTGAAAAACTATAATTTATGGGTTTATGATTTCTGTGCCAGAATCCATATTGACTAAAAGGGTGAGGGGGAATCCTTCTCACAGGAGACGACGGATAATGGGTTTCGGGGTGGGGGAAACCATGTTTTTATCGCTAATGTGACAGCTTAATAGCCCATAAATATGTGCCAGAACCAGCGAAAACTATCTACTCAGAACCAGTGGCAATAGTCGCCGCAATAAGTACAGAACCAATTGGGCTGCGGAGAAGTGAATACGTCAAGAATTCTTTTCGTACTGATTTTATTGAGCATGGATCCGGGTTTATATACATGATTTTTGGTTACAAGGATATTTATTTAGGTCTAGTCTAGATACAAATGGACAACATAGTTTATTAACAGATTGCAGGAAAATATCCTAAATAAGCAATTACTTCTACCAAATGGTGTGAAGAAACGTCCGTCGGCTGGATGCATATGGTTTATGACCCGTTTTTCACATGCAGATGTGCGTAGCCCAAGATATTAGCTACCTATTTATTTAGGTCAAAGTAGGTATCAGAAGCGAACGAATTTCTGCTAAGTCGAAATCGTCATGCCCCTTTTAGTACTCTTGGTACAGTGGGTGATCGATATATATATATTTATATTTGTGTGCATATTACATCTCCTCCTTTTGAAAAATAACGTAATATAATGGAGATATTTTTTAATATAAATTTTACAAACTTTAAGACATGATATTATTATTTATAGCAATAAGATTTCATTTTTTTGTGTTTTTTTGTTTTAGTTTTACTCTTTTTTTTTGTGTTATCTTAGGTTTGTATGTTTATATAATGTATAATTATTTATTTTTATATGTATGTATCCTTATATATTATTTTGTATACTTTTTTTTTGTTTTATTTTTTTATATGTATGTATCCTTATTTTTTATTTTTTATATGTATAAATTAATGAAATAATAAGTCTGGTTAAGGGTGATCCGCCGTCGGAACCCGGCGGCTTCTCTTCTCAATCAATAAAAAGGTAAATCCGGATAAGGATGAATCGCCGTCGGTAGTCGGCAACTTCTGTTCTCCTCTCGGGCAGACGACAGGTCCACTGTTGATTGCTGGCCGGCTGGCCGAAGCGGTCCCAATGAAGAATTAGGATGATTACGTTGGAGGGGTGGCTATCCCTCTTGACTGCTGATCTATGGACTCAGACAGTATTTTAATGATATGCAATTAACGACAGCTAGTCGGAGTTTGTTTTATGAGCTATTGCTCTGAACTTAATTGCGATTGCTCTGAACTTAAAGCTAACATAAAAGGGACTCAGACGCTGTGTCTGCAATTTCGCCGGAGTGAGCTTTCAGACGATCGGTCATTGCCGTCGCCCGGTTAACTTAGTTAACTACTACCCCCTTAGGATTAAGGCCGGCCTCAGCCGACCCTATTTGGGCGATCATATCTGCTATCTGAACCGTAAATCTCCTGGCCTGGATGACTCGCGGATAGGTGAAGCTGACGCAGATCAACGCGCAGCATATTGCTCCTGCTACCAGTATTAACTGATGTGAATGATAGTCGTTGATGTTCTTCCCGACTCTCTTGATGTGTTCCAGGTTACGCTCACTCAAGCGGTGAAGGTATGGAAGACTGAGGATGTTGTGCTCCATAGTAATATTCAGGGAGGGCGAGCTGGCTACTCCTGGGACCCTTTTCTGGGCCCTGTCATTGTTCACATATCGGGTTTCATTAACTATGGCACTCTCAGTAAAGGTAATGAGATGCGTGCCTCATATATGGATGTAAGTGCCATTATACACTCACACGTGCCGGACGATCGTTTACAATTATGATGCCTTCATCTACGTGAATAATTGGATGTAGATCGCTGTGCTGGATGTCACAGTGCGCTATGCCTCCAGCGTGGAGCTCTTGTGCGCACGACATTCTTAGCGCCAGCAGGCAAAATGTAGCTCCAGGAGCAATTGTTGCTATTATTTTGTCCACCAGCCTCAGCATCGTGTCGTGATGGGACACGGGAAAAACAGTGATTTTAATATATGACGACTTTATTATTGGAAATTTAATAACAAAATTCAAAAGGTTAGCGGACTGTAATATCTTAACGGAAGCAACGGACAATAAGTCTTTGATGGGGGTATCTCTGGGCTCTTCTATCCATATATCTTCTAGGTCTGCATGATCTCGCTAATAAGTTTTGCAGCTCCATACTAATCATTCTATTTCGGGATAATAACATCTCATAAAGATGCCCCGAGTCAATTTGGGTTCCATTGGCCGACCTCAGAAGTTGGTTGATGGTGGCAGTAATATTATTAATTTGGTCTTGTACCTTACTATTGATGTTTATCTGCCCATTGTTCATTAAGTTTAATTTTTTCGAAATCCTCTGCATCTTGCGTTCCCGCCACTACCTTTAACGCCGCTCCTAGGAAATCTAAACTCCTAGCTACTCTGTGGTGGATGCTCAACGAGTCGAGCTGGTCACGCAGATGAGCGACATCGACGCTCAAAAGTTTCTGCATGTGTGACTGGGGAAACATGCTGGTCATGCCATCCGTTTCTTCCATCACCCGCCCATATTCCGAGAGATTCGCCGAGTGTGTAACGAACGCGAATTCTTCCCAAACTAGAATTCTACCATCAATGATGGGAATATATTTGGCCTGCGAGTAGTCTGTGACGTGCCCCGATGTTACGGTAAGCAGGACTAACAGGGATACGAATGCGAACCTGTAATATTGGATGTATTGTAGTGTTTGGTTAAAACAGGGTAACCCGCCACCAAAGCATAAAGAATAAAGAATAATTATAACAAAAACTTATACCAACGGTATAGGCGTGAGAAAATATAGACAAAAAAACTGAAAAAAATAATACAAATTTATCAGACGAATGACAATATGGTTGTGCTTCGCATATCTAAGGTTGTCCTTGTGGACTACCCTCACCTTAATGGGGGTTTTTGCCCCCCCTGCCTTCCTTTTTTTTTTTTTTTTATAAATGTATATTTTTTTTACTTTGTTTTTTTTATTTTAATTTTTTTTTAAATTTTAATAATAAATTAATATAAAAAAGATATTTTCTTTTTCAAAACTTTTCTTTTGTTTTTTTTTTTTTTTCTTTGTTGTAGTGGGGCGGTGTTGCCGGAAAAAGATGCCTCTTGATTGTGGTGGAAGTCGGGGGAGTCGTCGAATCGCCCGTCTGGTTTATTCACTTCATACAAGAAAACTGAACTTAACTTAACTTAGCATAAGAAAAGACGATCGCCGACGGCCGACCGCTGCACTTGGACCCGAGAGAGCGAGAGTGCAAGATTGTTCAGAGAGGGGCGAGGGCGGATGCACTCTTCAGCGCGGATGCGCTCTTCAGCGCGGTTGCACTCTTCAGCGCGGATGCGCTCTTTAGAGTGGATGCGCTCTTCAGCGCGGATGCGCTCTTCACGCGCTCTTCTTCGGCGGCACATTAGCCCCTCATCTGAACATCCCGCCCCCTTGCAATCACTCGGGTTGCAACAGCTCCCTCGTCGCTACGGTTGGTGACAGGCTCCGGACACGACCCATCCAAAAACGGTGCTCTGGGCCACTGGCAGCCCGTCCTGGATCTTCAGGAAGCCCGGCTGCATGATCCGCGGGTACATGTCCGCGCCCAGGACAACGGAGATCGTCGCTGGCAGATAGAACCGCTCATCCGCCAATGTCACGCCTCGGAAGTGGGCACGCACCGCCTCGCTCAGCTCTCGAGACGGCGTATGAACGCGCATGTGAGGCTCGATTTTGAAAGCGACCTCCAGCCGTACGCTATCATCCATTTTTGAACCCACGGTGGCCGAACATACTCCTTCGTCCCCCACGCTGGTAGTGGGCAGACGGAAACTCGCCGCTAGCGATGCGTCGATGCAGCTTGAGGGCGTACACGGGTCGATAAGGGCAATGGCGATGCGCACTATCGCGGTCGGCAACACATTGACGCTGTTCCGTTGCAGCAGCGACGATAGGGTGGGCGCAGCGGCCGCGTCCTTCGGGGGCTCTTGACGAGAAGCGGAAAATTGCCTAGGCGCGGATGACGCGGGCGGACGAGCGGTGGACGGCACCCGATGAGTGGCGGACGAAGGCCGTGGAGCATCTGAAGCCTGCCGGCCAGTGGCGGAAGAATGCCGAGGAGCTGCCGACGAGCGCCGGGAAGTCGATGGCCATGGATCGGCTTGTGAGTGCCGGAAAGTGGCGGACGAAGGCGGCGAAGCAACCGAAATGCGCCTGGAGTTGGCAGACGAAGGCCGCGAAGCAACCGAACCACGCCAGGAGTTGGCGGACGACGGCCGAGCGCTAGCTGAGACACTCCGTGTACTGTCTCCCGCGCTCCGTGACTTGTGCTCCTCTTGACGCGGCTGACGCCGAGACCGTGGCTTCTCCACGAGGTGCAGCAGCGAGTGGTGATCCTGACCACATGTTCTACAGCAGTCCCCACGCCGACACGATCCGTCGGAGTGCTCGTGAGCCAGGCAGCTGGAGCAATACCGGTTCACGAGAACCGCCCGGAGCCGCTTCTCGGCACTGAGACGTAGAAAGCGCCGACACTTCTTCAGAGGATGGATCCCACTGCAGACTCGGCATCGGTAGGACTGTGTACCTCGAGTACATCTGCTCTCCAGTGACTGGGCGCTGCGTGGACGTGGCGACATCGTGCTGAATATGACTGGCGGAACTATGATGGAGAAACAAAACAGCGTTATCAGAATTGGTGTGAAGTTCGACTTGGAATAACGGCCAGAGCTACGAGACAGCAACAATGCGCCGCACAGCTCTAACCGAGGGAGCGACACCGTTTTAACTGGGGCCACTCGAGTCTTTGCCGTCAGCAGGTTCACTATGACCGCAGACCCAACCTCGACACGGACGTAAATTGCTGCGCCGTACGCCTTCTCTGAAGCGTCGCAGAACCCGTGATGCTCGACCCTTAGGTGTGGTCGGAACGCGACCCATCGAGGAACACGAATCTGATCGAGCACCGAGTAATTCTCCAGGAAGTCAACCCATCGCTGACAGAAATCTTGAGGGAGGTAGTAGGTAGCGGAACTGCTCGTGGGAGAGACCTCGGTCCTGTGGCCTAAGTCGATGTATTCCTGTATTACAGAGTCATAGCGGGCCTTAAGGGGCGGGTCCCTCTTCAGGCGCTGCTCATTACGTAGGAACTGAGCAAGAGCAAAGGACCGTGAAGCTGACAGCTCGGAACCCTTCTGCTCGGGGTCGCGTAAGGGGAGCGTCACAACGTACTTGCCACACTCGTCTCTTCTCGTCGTCTGGACAAAATTGTGCTCGCAAACTGAATCCGATTCCGAATTAATCTGAGTGGAACCCTTCTGCTCGGGGTCGCGTAAGGGGAGCGTCACAACGTACTTGCCACACTCGTCTCTTCTCGTCGTCTGGACAAAATTGTGCTCGCAAACTGAATCCGATTCCGAATTAATCTGAGTGGGCACATCCTCCACCTCCCAAAATTTGGTGAGGAGCGGATCCAGCGAGTCACCGAGGCTACGGGCAACTCGTGTGGAAAAAACGGACACGCTGCGAGGGTTGGCTGGAGATAATGGGCCTGTCAGCACCCATCCAAAAATGGTTTCCTGACCGAGAAGCGACCCGCAGATGTTAGCCCTGGTATTACCGAGGAGAATGGACGGAAGAATGTCAGCTCCTATTAACACATCGACTTGGGAGCTTTCAAAGAAGTTGGGGTCTGCCAGGGGAATGTCGGGCAGCCCCTTGAGGCGATCTCGCGCAATCGGATATGATGGCAGATTTCCTGCCAACTGCGGAAGAACGTAAGCCGCAGTCTCTAATTGTAGCCCGGGTCTCGACGGCGACCGAATGGAGAAATGGCACAATTTAGTAGACTGCGCGGCAATGGTCTGATTAAGACCGGACACTTGGGCTTGAATAGTCTTGAAGGGAAGCTTGACAAGGTTGAACAGTCGTTCAGTTATGAACGTCGCTTCGGACCCTGAGTCTATCAGTGCTCGTGCCTGGAAACTGCACCCCAGATGGCACACGTTGATAAGGGCAGTGCCCAATAGGACGGCTCCAGACCCGGAGGCGAAACACACCTGCACATCCGACTGATCCTCTGAGCCGTTTGTGCTTCTGGAAGGTTGTGCGGGTCGAGCCCTTGCTGGAGTAGGCGGACTTGGGGCCGTAGTGAACGGATTGCCGCGGTGCAGGAGGGTGTGATGTCGGCTGTGGCATGTGAAGCAGGTATGGGCGCTCGTGCAGTCTCGCTGCTGGTGCCCTCGAGCAAAACAGTTCAAGCATAACTGCTTCCTCTTAATGTAGTCGGAGCGCCCGTCCACGTTCATTTCTAGGAAACGCGGACATAAGCGGATAGGGTGGTTTTCCCTCGAACAGAGGTCGCATCCCTTTTGGCCCGGAGCCACTCGAGTCTCGTACGAATGGAGCCTCCGTGCAGGGGCAGCAGGGAGTCCCGACCTTGGCGGAGATTGCCCGGAGCCACTAGGCCTAACGTCGTCGATGGCCTCCAGAGTGCGATGGCGCTCTGTCAGGAAGTTATCTAACTCCTTCCATGTTGGAATTTCGGCCTTATTATGTACGGATTGCTCCCACATAGAAAGTGTGACCTTGGGGAGCTTCGAGGAAATCATAAAGACCAGGAGACAATCCCACGCCTCAACATTGATGGCGGACATTTCTAGGGCTGTCAGACAACTCTGAATGGTGGCTTGCAGTTCCCTCAGCGCGACCCCGGACTCTTGAGAAATAGCCTGGAGGTTGAAAAGGATCTTCAACTGGCTATTGACTAACAGCCGCCGATTCTCAAAACGGTCTGTGAGGCTTTGCCACGCTGCGACAAACCCCTCATGGGTAAGCGGAGCCTTAGCAACAATGGCGTGAGCGTCACCACTTGTTTTGGACAGCAAGTGAAACAACTTCTCTACCGGGGTGAGCCGCGAGTTTTGGATATAAATGGCCGCAAACAAGTCTCTAAAGGTGGGCCACCGAAGGTAATCACCCGCAAAGACCTCGGTATCCACTGGAGGTAACCGACAGCCTGTAGACGCGGGCGTGTGGACATTGACGGAAGCCTGCGTGGATTGGGAGGCAATTTTCTCCCGAAGCTGGGCAATACACCTCGAATATACGGAGTAACAGTAGCTGTACTTCGATTCCAGCACTGCTGAGGTGGCCGAATTGTCGTCGGACACGGCGAGCAAATCGGAGCAGCTCTCATAGCACTTCTCCACCTTCTCCCAAAGTGCCCGAATTTGGTCTCGATGGACTTCGCACATGTATTGGGAGCTTGTTTCTGGGCCTCCCGGGGTATTGATGTTGGCCTCAAATTGGCTAATTCGATCTGTCGTAGCGATGAACTTTTTCAGCGCCACGTCGACCGCACTTTGAGCCATTTTTACAACGGAGCGAGTCTGCCTCTGTGAAGGATCGGGGATTGTATTGACGTTTTCGTCACTCTTTGCCCTTTGAATGGCCCTGGTCGCCTTAGGCTTCAAAAGAGGCGTCCGCGGAGATGCGGATTGAGATCTGTTCAAACTGATGGATGGGATCGGACGCGGATTTTTGTCGTCTCCCGTGGGCATTCTCAAAAGTCAATTAGCTGGTCAGCGCTTGGCGACTGACTTGCGCAATAGGGGTCTCGTTCGAAGCGGTGGCTGGTCACACTAAAGTGATGAGAACGGTGAAATCGCGGATGGATTGCGATCACAGGGAACTAGTAGGCACTAGCGGCGCCGATGTCGAAAGGAAGATCGTGTGCGGCACAAATCGAATGTGAAAACAAAACTTCAGGAGCCCAACAACCCAGAAGTAGACGAGGTTTGGTGAGATTGTAGGCGGATGTTGCCTGATGCGGAGTGGAAGCTGCGCTAAGGGCACGGAGAATGGACACGTACCGTTCGGAATTCACCCCGAAGGAAAAAAAACCAGCACCAAAAAAAAACACAACACGGCTACTGAGCCGGCGAGGTTGCGAACTTAGGCGACACAATCACGGATTTGTAGTGAAATGCCGGTTTTTTTTTTTTTTAATACAGATTTTATTTCAGTTAAATTTATAATTATTTATTCCCTGAAATTGGACGCAGAAAATATATGGAATGCATGCAAGTATGTATATATGTAGGTATATGTATGCTCGTGAGGCCTAGGTTGGCACAGTGGACTGCGGACTGTATAAATAGAGGAACTGAAAGCTGTGTGGTGTAAAAAAAAAACACTGATTGGGAAAAAAAAATATTACGCCAGCGGCGGACTGTTAAATGACTTTAGGAATTTTTGAAATAAATCACACCGGCTGGCCAATATTAATTATGCTTTATTTTCGTCACCACACAATTTCACAAAGTATGTATGTATATATGCAAGTATATGTATGCACGTAAGGCCTAGGTTGGCACAGTGGACTGTGGACTGTATAAATGGAGGAACAGAAAGCAGTGTGGTGTAAAAAAAAAGACACTGATTGAAAAAAAAATATTACGCCACCGGTGGACCGTTAAATGAATTTAGGAATTTTTGGAAATAAATCACACCGGCTGGCCAATATTAATTATGCCTTATTTTTGTCACCACTGTTTCACTGTTCACTTGGTCAATTTTACGCGGCTTAATTGCACCAAAAAAAAGAAAAAGGTATGGTTGTATGTGTGTATATTATATGTATGCACATATGCCTCGACCGTTGGCAAGCGAATAGCGGAATAGCAAATAACGGGGAGGCCGAAAACGGCGAGGAATATGGCGGCACACAAAACGGAGTCGGATGGAAAATTTGGCAGAATATGAAGACGAATAAGAGTAGAAAATCTCAAACTGCCGTTGTGTCGGAAAACTCGGACTTGGAGTTGACACGGAAAGGAAATAAATCTTGCAGCCGTGTGAACGAAATTTTATGTTCGGACCACTGCTGAAGACCGGCAGAGAGACGGAGACGGAAAAAATTTCGTACTTATCTTTTGGCGGAACACTGCCGAGAACTGCTGGTAGAAGAAGATATCCAGAATCCAAAGTATCCAGAATATCCAGGAAATCCGGCTCGAAGGACCAAATGTTGTAGTGGGGCGGTGTTGCCGGAAAAAGATGCCTCTTGATTGTGGTGGAAGTCGGGGGAGTCGTCGAATCGCCCGTCTGGTTTATTCACTTCATACAAGAAAACTGAACTTAACTTAACTTAGCATAAGAAAAGACGATCGCCGACGGCCGACCGCTGCACTTGGACCCGAGAGAGCGAGAGATTGTTCAGAGAGGGGCGAGGGCGGATGCACTCTTCAGCGCGGATGCGCTCTTCAGCGCGGTTGCACTCTTCAGCGCGGATGCGCTCTTTAGAGTGGATGCGCTCTTCAGCGCGGATGCGCTCTTCACGCGCTCTTCTTCGGCGGCACATTAGCCCCTCATCTGAACATCCCGCCCCCCTTGCAATCACTCGGGTTGCAACAGCTCCCTCGTCGCTACGGTTGGTGACAGGCTCCGGACACGACCCATCCAAAAACGGTGCTCTGGGCCACTGGCAGCCCGTCCTGGATCTTCAGGAAGCCCGGCTGCATGATCGCGCGGTACATGTCCGCGCCCAGGACAACGGAGATCGTCGCTGGCAGATAGAACCGCTCATCCGCCAATGTCACGCCTCGGAAGTGGGCACGCACCGCCTCGCTCAGCTCTCGAGACGGCGTATGAACGCGCATGTGAGGCTCGATTTTGAAAACGACCTCCAGCCGTACGCTATCATCCATTTTGGAACCCACGGTGGCTGAACATACTTGTTCGTCCCCCACGCTGGTAGTGGGCAGACGGAAACTCGCCGCTAGCGATGCGTCGATGCAGCTTGAGGGCGTACACGGGTCGATAAGGGCCCCCGTGTCGAAGATCCGGGTTCCGGTGTCAATGCGCACTATCGCGGTCGGCAACACATTGACGCTGTTCCGCTGCAGCAGCGACGATAGGGTGGGCGCAGCGGCCGCGTCCTTCGGGGGCTCTTGACGAGAAGCGGAAAATTGCCTAGGCGCGGATGACGCGGGCGGACGAGCGGTGGACGGCACCCGATGAGTGGCGGACGCAGGCCGTGGAGCATCTGAAGCCTGCCGGCCAGTGGCGGAAGAATGCCGAGGAGCTGCCGACGAGCGCCGGGAAGTCGATGGCCATGGATCGGCTTGTGAGTGCCGGAAAGTGGCGGACGAAGGCGGCGAAGCAACCGAAATGCGCCTGGAGTTGGCAGACGAAGGCCGCGAAGCAACCGAACCACGCCAGGAGTTGGCGGACGACGGCCGAGCGCTAGCTGAGACACTCCGTGTACTGTCTCCCGCGCTCCGTGACTTGTGCTCCTCTTGACGCGGCTGACGCCGAGACCGTGGCTTCTCCACGAGGTGCAGCAGCGAGTGGTGATCCTGACCACATGTTCTACAGCAGTCCCCACGCCGACACGATCCGTCGGAGTGCTCGTGAGCCAGGCAGCTGGAGCAATACCGGTTCACGAGAACCGCCCGGAGCCGCTTCTCGGCACTGAGACGTAGAAAGCGCCGACACTTCTTCAGAGGATGGATCCCACTGCAGACTCGGCATCGGTAGGACTGTGTACCTCGAGTACATCTGCTCTCCAGTGACTGGGCGCTGCGTGGACGTGGCGACATCGTGCTGAATATGACTGGCGGAACTATGATGGAGAAACAAAACAGCGTTATCAGAATTGGTGTGAAGTTCGACTTGGAATAACGGCCAGAGCTACGAGAGACAGCAACAATGCGCCGCACAGCTCTAACCGAGGGAGCGACACCGTTTTAACTGGGGCCACTCGAGTCTTTGCCGTCAGCAGGTTCACTATGACCGCAGACCCAACCCTCGACACGGACGTAAATTGCTGCGCCGTACGCCTTCTCTGAAGCGTCGCAGAACCCGTGATGCTCGACCCTTAGGTGTGGTCGGAACGCGACCCATCGAGGAACACGAATCTGATCGAGCACCGAGTAATTCTCCAGGAAGTCAACCCATCGCTGACAGAAATCTTGAGGGAGGTAGTAGGTAGCGGAACTGCTCGTGGGAGAGACCTCGGTCCTGTGGCCTAAGTCGATGTATTCCTGTATTACAGAGTCATAGCGGGCCTTAAGGGGCGGGTCCCTCTTCAGGCGCTGCTCATTTACGTAGAACTGAGCAAGAGCAAAGGACCGTAGCGACGTGAAGCTGACAGCTCGGAACCCTTCTGCTCGGGGTCGCGTAAGGGGAGCGTCACAACGTACTTGCCACACTCGTCTCTTCTCGTCGTCTGGACAAAATTGTGCTCGCAAACTGAATCCGATTCCGAATTAATCTGAGTGGGCACATCCTCCACCTCCCAAAAATTGGTGAGGAGCGGATCCAGCGAGTCACCGAGGCTACGGGCAACTCGTGTGGAAAAAACGGACACGCTGCGAGGGTTGGCTGGAGATAATGGGCCTGTCAGCACCCATCCAAAAATGGTTTCCTGACCGAGAAGTGACCCGCAGATGTTAGCCCTGGTATTACCGAGGAGAATGGACGGAAGAATGTCAGCTCCTATTAACACATCGACTTGGGAGCTTTCAAAGAAGTTGGGGTCTGCCAGGGGAATGTCGGGCAGCCCCTTGAGGCGATCTCGCGCAATCGGATATGATGGCAGATTTCCTGCCAACTGCGGAAGAACGTAAGCCGCAGTCTCTAATTGTAGCCCGGGTCTCGACGGCGACCGAATGGAGAAATGGCACAATTTAGTAGACTGCGCGGCAATGGTCTGATTAAGACCGGACACTTGGGCTTGAATAGTCTTGAAGGGAAGCTTGACAAGGTTGAACAGTCGTTCAGTTATGAACGTCGCTTCGGACCCTGAGTCTATCAGTGCTCGTGCCTGGAAACTGCACCCCAGATGGCACACGTTGATAAGGGCAGTGCCCAATAGGACGGCTCCAGACCCGGAGGCGAAACACACCTGCACATCCGACTGATCCTCTGAGCCGTTTGTGCTTCTGGAAGGTTGTGCGGGTCGAGCCCTTGCTGGAGTAGGCGGACTTGGAGCCGTAGTGAACGGATTGCCGCGGTGCAGGAGGGTGTGATGTCGGCTGTGGCATGTGAAGCAGGTATGGGCGCTCGTGCAGTCTCGCTGCTGGTGCCCTCGAGCAAAACAGTTCAAGCATAACTGCTTCCTCTTAATGTAGTCGGAGCGCCCGTCCACGTTCATTTCTAGGAAACGCGGACATAAGCGGATAGGGTGGTTTTCCCTCGAACAGAGGTCGCATCCCTTTTGGCCCGGAGCCACTCGAGTCTCGTACGAATGGAGCCTCCGTGCAGGGGCAGCAGGGAGTCCCGACCTTGGCGGAGATTGCCCGGAGCCACTAGGCCTAACGTCGTCGATGGCCTCCAGAGTGCGATGGCGCTCTGTCAGGAAGTTATCTAACTCCTTCCATGTTGGAATTTCGGCCTTATTATGTACGGATTGCTCCCACATAGAAAGTGTGACCTTGGGGAGCTTCGAGGAAATCATAAAGACCAGGAGACAATCCCACGCCTCAACATTGATGGCGGACATTTCTAGGGCTGTCAGACAACTCTGAATGGTGGCTTGCAGTTCCCTCAGCGCGACCCCGGACTCTTGAGAAATAGCCTGGAGGTTGAAAAGGATCTTCAACTGGCTATTGACTAACAGCCGCCGATTCTCAAAACGGTCTGTGAGGCTTTGCCACGCTGCGACAAACCCCCTCATGGGTAAGCGGAGCCTTAGCAACAATGGCGTGAGCGTCACCACTTGTTTTGGACAGCAAGTGAAACAACTTCTCTACCGGGGTGAGCCGCGAGTTTTGGATATAAATGGCCGCAAACAAGTCTCTAAAGGTGGGCCACCGAAGGTAATCACCCGCAAAGACCTCGGTATCCACTGGAGGTAACCGACAGCCTGTAGACGCGGGCGTGTGGACATTGACGGAAGCCTGCGTGGATTGGGAGGCAATTTTCTCCCGAAGCTGGGCAATACACCTCGAATATACGGAGTAACAGTAGCTGTACTTCGATTCCAGCACTGCTGAGGTGGCCGAATTGTCGTCGGACACGGCGAGCAAATCGGAGCAGCTCTCATAGCACTTCTCCACCTTCTCCCAAAGTGCCCGAATTTGGTCTCGATGGACTTCGCACATGTATTGGGAGCTTGTTTCTGGGCCTCCCGGGGTATTGATGTTGGCCTCAAATTGGCTAATTCGATCTGTCGTAGCGATGAACTTTTTCAGCGCCACGTCGACCGCACTTTGAGCCATTTTTACAACGGAGCGAGTCTGCCTCTGTGAAGGATCGGGGATTGTATTGACGTTTTCGTCACTCTTTGCCCTTTGAATGGCCCTGGTCGCCTTAGGCTTTAAAAGAGGCGTCCGCGGAGATGCGGATTGAGATCTGTTCAAACTGATGGATGGGATCGGACGCGGATTTTTGTCGTCTCCCGTGGGCATTCTCAAAAGTCAATTAGCTGGTCAGCGCTTGGCGACTGACTTGCGCAATAGGGGTCCCGTTCGAAGCGGTGGCTGGTCACACTAAAGTGATGAGAACGGTGAAATCGCGGATGGATTGCGATCACAGGGAACTAGTAGGCACTAGCGGCGCCGATGTCGAAAGGAAGATCGTGTGCGGCACAAATCGAATGTGAAAATAAAACTTCAGGAGCCCAACAACCCAGAAGTAGACGAGGTTTGGTGAGATTGTAGGCGGATGTTGCCTGATGCGGAGTGGAAGCTGAGCTAAAGGCACGGAGCATGGACACGTACCGTTCGGAATTCACCCCGAAGGAAAAAAAAACAGCACCAAAAAAAAAACACAACACGGCTACTGAGCCGGCGAGGTTGCGAACTTAGGCGAAACAATCACGGATTTGTAGTGAAATGCCGGTTTTTTTTTTTTTAATACAGATTTTATTTCAGTTAAATTTATAATTATTTATTCCCTGAAATTGGACGCAGAAAATATATGGAATGCATGCAAGTATGTATATAAGTAGGTATATGTATGTTCGTGAGGCCTAGGTTGGCACAGTGGACTGCGGACTGTATAAATAGAGGAACTGAAAGCTGTGTGGTGTAAAAAAAAAACACTGATTGGAAAAAAAAAAATATTACGCCAGCGGCGGACTGTTAAATGACTTTAGGAATTTTTTTGAAATAAATCACACCGGCTGGCCAATATTAATTATGCTTTATTTTCGTCACCACACAATTTCACAAAGTATGTATGTATATATGCAAGTATATGTATGCACGTAAGGCCTAGGTTGGCACAGTGGACTGTGGACTGTATAAATGGAGGAACAGAAAGCAGTGTGGTGTAAAAAAAAGACACTGATTGGAAAAAAATATTACGCCACCGGTGGACCGTTAAATGAATTTAGGAATTTTTGGAAATAAATCACACCGGCTGGCCAATATTAATTATGCCTTATTTTTGTCACCACTGTTTCACTGTTCACTTGGTCAATTTTACGCGGCTTAATTGCACCAAAAAGAAAAAGGTATGGTTGTATGTGTGTATATTATATGTATGCACATATGCCTCGACCGTTGGCAAGCGAATAGCGGAATAGCAAATAACGGGGAGGCCGAAAACGGCGAGGAATATGGCGGCACACAAAACGGAGTCGGATGGAAAATTTGGCAGAATATGAAAACGGATAAAAGTAGAAAATCTCAAACTGCCGTTGTGTCGGAAAACTCGGACTTGGAGTTGACACGGAAAGGAAATAAATCTTGCAGCCGTGTTTTTAAATTAAGCTTAATTTTAAACACCCAGAAAAAGAACCCGCCGAAAAAATAAAAAAAAAAATTTCTAACTAATCTTGTGGGGCACCCCACAAAAAAAAAAAACAAAAAAAAAAGAAACCAAAAAAAAAAAAAAACAAAACCCCAGAAAAACCCCTAAAGATGAAAAATTTTAAAAAAAAAAAATCCTTTTTTTTGGGGGGAGGGGGGGTCGACCAAAAAAAAAAAAAAAAAAAAAACCCCCACCCCCAATGAAGGGAGGTTTTTTGCCGGTTTCCTTTATGGGTCTTCACAGGGGTTGTAGTGGGGCGGTGTTGCCGGAAAAAGATGCCTCTTGATTGTGGTGGAAGTCGGGGGAGTCGTCGAATCGCCCGTCTGGTTTATTCACTTCATACAAGAGGAAACTGAACTTAACTTAACTTAGCATAAGAAAAGACGATCGCCGACGGCCGACCGCTGCACTTGGACCCGAGAGAGCGAGAGTGCAAGATTGTTCAGAGAGGGGCGAGGGCGGATGCACTCTTCAGCGCGGATGCGCTCTTCAGCGCGGTTGCACTCTTCAGCGCGGATGCGCTCTTTAGAGTGGATGCGCTCTTCAGCGCGGATGCGCTCTTCACGCGCTCTTCTTCGGCGGCACATTAGCCCCTCATCTGAACATCCCGCCCCCCTTGCAATCACTCGGGTTGCAACAGCTCCCTCGTCGCTACGGTTGGTGACAGGCTCCGGACACGACCCATCCAAAAACGGTGCTCTGGGCCACTGGCAGCCCGTCCTGGATCTTCAGGAAGCCCGGCTGCATGATCCGCGGGTACATGTCCGCGCCCAGGACAACGGAGATCGTCGCTGGCAGATAGAACCGCTCATCCGCCAATGTCACGCCTCGGAAGTGGGCACGCACCGCCTCGCTCAGCTCTCGAGACGGCGTATGAACGCGCATGTGAGGCTCGATTTTGAAAGCGACCTCCAGCCGTACGCTATCATCCATTTTTGAACCCACGGTGGCCGAACATACTCCTTCGTCCCCCACGCTGGTAGTGGGCAGACGGAAACTCGCCGCTAGCGATGCGTCGATGCAGCTTGAGGGCGTACACGGGTCGATAAGGGCAATGGCGATGCGCACTATCGCGGTCGGCAACACATTGACGCTGTTCCGTTGCAGCAGCGACGATAGGGTGGGCGCAGCGGCCGCGTCCTTCGGGGGCTCTTGACGAGAAGCGGAAAATTGCCTAGGCGCGGATGACGCGGGCGGACGAGCGGTGGACGGCACCCGATGAGTGGCGGACGAAGGCCGTGGAGCATCTGAAGCCTGCCGGCCAGTGGCGGAAGAATGCCGAGGAGCTGCCGACGAGCGCCGGGAAGTCGATGGCCGTGGATCGGCTTGTGAGTGCCGGAAAGTGGCGGACGAAGGCGGCGAAGCAACCGAAATGCGCCTGGAGTTGGCAGACGAAGGCCGCGAAGCAACCGAACCACGCCAGGAGTTGGCGGACGACGGCCGAGCGCTAGCTGAGACACTCCGTGTACTGTCTCCCGCGCTCCGTGACTTGTGCTCCTCTTGACGCGGCTGACGCCGAGACCGTGGCTTCTCCACGAGGTGCAGCAGCGAGTGGTGATCCTGACCACATGTTCTACAGCAGTCCCCACGCCGACACGATCCGTCGGAGTGCTCGTGAGCCAGGCAGCTGGAGCAATACCGGTTCACGAGAACCGCCCGGAGCCGCTTCTCGGCACTGAGACGTAGAAAGCGCCGACACTTCTTCAGAGGATGGATCCCACTGCAGACTCGGCATCGGTAGGACTGTGTACCTCGAGTACATCTGCTCTCCAGTGACTGGGCGCTGCGTGGACGTGGCGACATCGTGCTGAATATGACTGGCGGAACTATGATGGAGAAACAAAACAGCGTTATCAGAATTGGTGTGAAGTTCGACTTGGAATAACGGCCAGAGCTACGAGACAGCAACAATGCGCCGCACAGCTCTAACCGAGGGAGCGACACCGTTTTAACTGGGGCCACTCGAGTCTTTGCCGTCAGCAGGTTCACTATGACCGCAGACCCAACCTCGACACGGACGTAAATTGCTGCGCCGTACGCCTTCTCTGAAGCGTCGCAGAACCCGTGATGCTCGACCCTTAGGTGTGGTCGGAACGCGACCCATCGAGGAACACGAATCTGATCGAGCACCGAGTAATTCTCCAGGAAGTCAACCCATCGCTGACAGAAATCTTGAGGGAGGTAGTAGGTAGCGGAACTGCTCGTGGGAGAGACCTCGGTCCTGTGGCCTAAGTCGATGTATTCCTGTATTACAGAGTCATAGCGGGCCTTAAGGGGCGGGTCCCTCTTCAGGCGCTGCTCATTACGTAGGAACTGAGCAAGAGCAAAGGACCGTGAAGCTGACAGCTCGGAACCCTTCTGCTCGGGGTCGCGTAAGGGGAGCGTCACAACGTACTTGCCACACTCGTCTCTTCTCGTCGTCTGGACAAAATTGTGCTCGCAAACTGAATCCGATTCCGAATTAATCTGAGTGGAACCCTTCTGCTCGGGGTCGCGTAAGGGGAGCGTCACAACGTACTTGCCACACTCGTCTCTTCTCGTCGTCTGGACAAAATTGTGCTCGCAAACTGAATCCCGAATTAATCTGAGTGGGCACATCCTCCACCTCCCAAAATTTGGTGAGGAGCGGATCCAGCGAGTCACCGAGGCTACGGGCAACTCGTGTGGAAAAAACGGATACGCTGCGAGGGTTGGCTGGAGATAATGGGCCTGTCAGCACCCATCCAAAAATGGTTTCCTGACCGAGAAGCGACCCGCAGATGTTAGCCCTGGTATTACCGAGGAGAATGGACGGAAGAATGTCAGCTCCTATTAACACATCGACTTGGGAGCTTTCAAAGAAGTTGGGGTCTGCCAGGGGAATGTCGGGCAGCCCCTTGAGGCGATCTCGCGCAATCGGATATGATGGCAGATTTCCTGCCAACTGCGGAAGAACGTAAGCCGCAGTCTCTAATTGTAGCCCGGGTCTCGACGGCGACCGAATGGAGAAATGGCACAATTTAGTAGACTGCGCGGCAATGGTCTGATTAAGACCGGACACTTGGGCTTGAATAGTCTTGAAGGGAAGCTTGACAAGGTTGAACAGTCGTTCAGTTATGAACGTCGCTTCGGACCCTGAGTCTATCAGTGCTCGTGCCTGGAAACTGCACCCCAGATGGCACACGTTGATAAGGGCAGTGCCCAATAGGACGGCTCCAGACCCGGAGGCGAAACACACCTGCACATCCGACTGATCCTCTGAGCCGTTTGTGCTTCTGGAAGGTTGTGCGGGTCGAGCCCTTGCTGGAGTAGGCGGACTTGGAGCCGTAGTGAACGGATTGCCGCGGTGCAGGAGGGTGTGATGTCGGCTGTGGCATGTGAAGCAGGTATGGGCGCTCGTGCAGTCTCGCTGCTGGTGCCCTCGAGCAAAACAGTTCAAGCATAACTGCTTCCTCTTAATGTAGTCGGAGCGCCCGTCCACGTTCATTTCTAGGAAACGCGGACATAAGCGGATAGGGTGGTTTTCCCTCGAACAGAGGTCGCATCCCTTTTGGCCCGGAGCCACTCGAGTCTCGTACGAATGGAGCCTCCGTGCAGGGGCAGCAGGGAGTCCCGACCTTGGCGGAGATTGCCCGGAGCCACTAGGGCCTAACGTCGTCGATGGCCTCCAGAGTGCGATGGCGCTCTGTCAGGAAGTTATCTAACTCCTTCCATGTTGGAATTTCGGCCTTATTATGTACGGATTGCTCCCACATAGAAAGTGTGACCTTGGGGAGCTTCGAGGAAATCATAAAGACCAGGAGACAATCCCACGCCTCAACATTGATGGCGGACATTTCTAGGGCTGTCAGACAACTCTGAATGGTGGCTTGCAGTTCCCTCAGCGCGACCCCGGACTCTTGAGAAATAGCCTGGAGGTTGAAAAGGATCTTCAACTGGCTATTGACTAACAGCCGCCGATTCTCAAAACGGTCTGTGAGGCTTTGCCACGCTGCGACAAACCCCTCATGGGTAAGCGGAGCCTTAGCAACAATGGCGTGAGCGTCACCACTTGTTTTGGACAGCAAGTGAAACAACTTCTCTACCGGGGTGAGCCGCGAGTTTTGGATATAAATGGCCGCAAACAAGTCTCTAAAGGTGGGCCACCGAAGGTAATCACCCGCAAAGACCTCGGTATCCACTGGAGGTAACCGACAGCCTGTAGACGCGGGCGTGTGGACATTGACGGAAGCCTGCGTGGATTGGGAGGCAATTTTCTCCCGAAGCTGGGCAATACACCTCGAATATACGGAGTAACAGTAGCTGTACTTCGATTCCAGCACTGCTGAGGTGGCCGAATTGTCGTCGGACACGGCGAGCAAATCGGAGCAGCTCTCATAGCACTTCTCCACCTTCTCCCAAAGTGCCCGAATTTGGTCTCGATGGACTTCGCACATGTATTGGGAGCTTGTTTCTGGGCCTCCCGGGGTATTGATGTTGGCCTCAAATTGGCTAATTCGATCTGTCGTAGCGATGAACTTTTTCAGCGCCACGTCGACCGCACTTTGAGCCATTTTTACAACGGAGCGAGTCTGCCTCTGTGAAGGATCGGGGATTGTATTGACGTTTTCGTCACTCTTTGCCCTTTGAATGGCCCTGGTCGCCTTAGGCTTCAACAGAGGCGTCCGCGGAGATGCGGATTGAGATCTGTTCAGACTGATGGATGGGATCGGACGCGGATTTTTGTCGTCTCCCGTGGGCATTCTCAAAAGTCAATTAGCTGGTCAGCGCTTGGCGACTGACTTGCGCAATAGGGGTCTCGTTCGAAGCGGTGGGCTGGTCACACTAAAGTGATGAGAACGGTGAAATCGCGGATGGATTGCGATCACAGGGAACTAGTAGGCACTAGCGGCGCCGATGTCGAAAGGAAGATCGTGTGCGGCACAAATCGAATGTGAAAACAAAACTTCAGGAGCCCAACAACCCAGAAGTAGACGAGGTTTGGTGAGATTGTAGGCGGATGTTGCCTGATGCGGAGTGGAAGCTGCGCTAAGGGCACGGAGAATGGACACGTACCGTTCGGAATTCACCCCGAAGGAAAAAAAACCAGCACCAAAAAAAAAAACACAACACGGCTACTGAGCCGGCGAGGTTGCGAACTTAGGCGACACAATCACGGATTTGTAGTGAAATGCCGGTTTTTTTTTTTTTTAATACAGATTTTATTTCAGTTAAATTTATAATTATTTATTCCCTGAAATTGGACGCAGAAAATATATGGAATGCATGCAAGTATGTATATATGTAGGTATATGTATGCTCGTGAGGCCTAGGTTGGCACAGTGGACTGCGGACTGTATAAATAGAGGAACTGAAAGCTGTGTGGTGTAAAAAAAAAACACTGATTGGAAAAAAAAATATTACGCCAGCGGCGGACTGTTAAATGACTTTAGGAATTTTTGAAATAAATCACACCGGCTGGCCAATATTAATTATGCTTTATTTTCGTCACCACACAATTTCACAAAGTATGTATGTATATATGCAAGTATATGTATGCACGTAAGGCCTAGGTTGGCACAGTGGACTGTGGACTGTATAAATGGAGGAACAGAAAGCAGTGTGGTGTAAAAAAAAAAAAAGACACTGATTGGAAAAAAAATATTACGCCACCGGTGGACCGTTAAATGAATTTAGGAACTTTTGGAAATAAATCACACCGGCTGGCCAATATTAATTATGCCTTATTTTTGTCACCACTGTTTCACTGTTCACTTGGTCAATTTTACGCGGCTTAATTGCACCAAAAAAAAAAGAAAAAGGTATGGTTGTATGTGTGTATATTATATGTATGCACATATGCCTCGACCGTTGGCAAGCGAATAGCGGAATAGCAAATAACGGGGAGGCCGAAAACGGCGAGGAATATGGCGGCACACAAAACGGAGTCGGATGGAAAATTTGGCAGAATATGAAGACGAATAAGAGTAGAAAATCTCAAACTGCCGTTGTGTCGGAAAACTCGGACTTGGAGTTGACACGGAAAGGAAATAAATCTTGCAGCCGTGTGAACGAAATTTTATGTTCGGACCACTGCTGAAGACCGGCAGAGAGACGGAGACGGAAAAAATTTCGTACTTATCTTTTGGCGGAACACTGCCGAGAACTGCTGGTAGAAGAAGATATCCAGAATCCAAAGTATCCAGAATATCCAGGAAATCCGGCTCGAAGGACCAAATGTTGTAGTGGGGCGGTGTTGCCGGAAAAAGATGCCTCTTGATTGTGGTGGAAGTCGGGGGAGTCGTCGAATCGCCCGTCTGGTTTATTCACTTCATACAAGAAAACTGAACTTAACTTAACTTAGCATAAGAAAAGACGATCGCCGACGGCCGACCGCTGCACTTGGACCCGAGAGAGCGAGAGTGCAAGATTGTTCAGAGAGGGGCGAGGGCGGATGCACTCTTCAGCGCGGATGCGCTCTTCAGCGCGGTTGCACTCTTCAGCGCGGATGCGCTCTTTAGAGTGGATGCGCTCTTCAGCGCGGATGCGCTCTTCACGCGCTCTTCTTCGGCGGCACATTAGCCCCTCATCTGAACATATTTTTCTTTTTTTTTTGGGCCCTTTTTAACAATTTACATTTTATTTTAAAAAAAAAAAAAATAAAAAAAAAAAAAATAAAAAAAAAAAAAAAAAAAAAAAAAAAAAAATTAATTTTAAATAAATAAAAAAAAAAAAAAAAAAAAAAAAAAAAAAAAAAAAAAAAAAAAAAAAAAAAAAAAAAAAAAAAAAAAAAAAAAAAAAAAAAAAATTTTTCTCTTTCAAAGCAACCGAAAGTAATGCAAGCTCTTCCCAAACACGGTCAACTACCCCAAACTTGACCGAATTCTTAAACGTAAAGAGCGAGAGAGCGCGATCTTGCTCCCCCTCGCTACCATCGATGTCTCTGCAGCCAAAGAGCGCAGCAACTAGCACCGCAATTTCTTCGACAACGTCAACCATAACAACAACAACAACCGCAACTGTAACGACAGCGCGATTAACGACGTCATCAGCTAGCAGCGCAAACATTAATACTTCTGCCGCTGCGCTGCCCGAATCGCTACATCCAAATCAAAGCTAAGCCCCCTAAACTCGCAACGCAAAATAACCCGTGACAATGCTAAAATAGCTGCAATAGAAACGCCCTCTAACTCAAACTGTTTTAAAATCTTGGCAGACTATGAGGATAATGCCGAATCTACTGAAGTCGAAAAAAGGAAGACTAAGCCCCCGCCAATTTACATACGAGAAGAACAATTTTCACATAATACCACTCGTAAAGGGCAACATCCAGGAAACAAAAGTTCAAACGAAGTCTGAAGATAATTACAGAGTATTATCAAAATATCTCACCGACAAAAAAAGAACTTTTATACGTATCAGCTAAAAAGCAACAAGGGCCTGCAAGTCGTACTTAAGGGCATAGAGTCCGAAGTATCGCCTGCAGAGATAACAAAGGCGCTACAAGAGAAGGGATTTAGCGCTAAGACAGTCTTCAATATCCTTAAAAGGGATAGAAAGCCGCAGCCACTATTTAAGGTTGAGCTCGAACCAGAAATTAAGCCCCTAAAAAAATACGAAGTGCACCCTATATACAATCTTCAGTTCCTGCTGCACCGCAGAATTACGGTTGAGCAGCCGCACAAACGCAACGGCCCGGTACAATGTGCGAACTGCCACGAATTTGGCCATACAAGGTCTTACTGTAAACTGCGCCCAGTGTGTGTAGTTTGTGGTGAGCTTCATGACTCCGCACACTGCCCAGCGAGCAAAGATAACCACAACTCAAAAAAGTGCGGCAACTGCGGTGGAAATCACACTGCTAACTATAGAGGTTGCCCAGTTTATAAGGAGCTGAAAAGTCGAATCCACCAGAGGGGAATTACTGCCCGCACCCAAAATAAACAGTTGATAGCCTCCAGGTCAAACCCTGAAGTCTTCTTCTCGACTGTAGCCAGATCCTCACTAGGACCCATAAACTCTGCCAAAAATGTTACATACGCAAGTGCTATAAAATTAGGACTGTCTACCCCAGCCTCAAAAAGCTCATTGCCGCAATCAGCATACCAAGAACCGAACACGGCTCAGCAGCATCAACCGCCAGAGCAGCCAAAAAGTAACTTTGAAGCTATGATATGCAGTCTACAACGAAGCCTTACGGAGTTTATGTCGTTTATGCGTACAACAATGCAAGATCTGATGCGAAACCAAAATCTATTGATCTATTCAAATGCTGGTTTCACAACAATCCAAATAATGACAACGGCGTTTCGCAGCATAAGCTCGAGTTAGCTCAATTCTTACTAGACAATCAAATCGACGTAATGCTGCTTTCAGAAACACATCTTACAAACAGATACAATTTTCAACTACGAGGATATTCACTCTATGCAACAAACCATCCAGATGGTAAAGCACACGGCGGGACTGGAATTTTAATCAGGAGCCGTATTAAGCACCATTATCATACAAAATTTGCTAAAAACTACCTACAGGCCACCTCCATAAATATACACCTAAATACTGGCAAGCAATTAATGCTAGCCGCCGCATACTGCCCCCCACGCTTCACAATATCCGAAGATGAGTTTATGCAATTTTTCAACTCACTCGGAGACCACTTCATAGCAGCAGGAGAATACAATGCAAAGCACACACACTGGGGATCTCGTCTCGTGACTCCATAAAGAAAGCAGCTCTATAATGCAATTATCAAAGCCAAGAACAAGCTCGACTATGTTTCTTCTGGCACACCAACATTCTGGCCGGCAAACCCAAAGAAACTTCCGGATTCAATAGATTTTGCAATTACCAAAAACATTCCTAAAAACATGATAAGCGCCGAATGTCTTTCGGATCGTTCATCTGATCACTCGCCTGTCCTTTTTACTCTACTCCGACATCCAGGAACATGGGATCAACCATTAAAACTGACCTCACATAAAACCAATTGGGTTAAGTACAGGAAGTATATTAGCTCACACATTGAGCTAAGTCCTCACCTCAGCGATGAAGCCAACGTAGACAGTTTTGTTAATTCACTGGAATCTGTACTCGTCTCTGCAGTTCGAGTTTCAACACCTCATACTATAAACACACAATGCAATCAAAAGAAGTCAAATCTACAAATCGAACAGCTCGTCCTCGAAAAGCGACGCTAACGTCGAGCATGGCAATTTCACAGATCGCCATCTGCTAAGCAAAGCTTAAAACATGCCTCACGTCAACTTGCTCAAGCTCTACAGCAAGAAGAAACATATGTCCACCGCCGCTACATTAAGCAATTGTCAACTAATAGTGCAAAGCACTCACTATGGAGAGCTCACCCAACTCTGAGCTCACCGAAAGAAACCGTGATGCCTATTAGAAATTCCACGGGCGGCTCATCAAAAGACAACTGAATCCGAAAAAATCCCCGGGCTGCGACCTCATAACTCCCAAAATTATCATTGATCATGCTCCCATACTGCGCCGTTTGCACTCTCACCCAGCTCTTTAATGCCATCGCAAAACTTGGCCACTTTCCCGTGAGATGGAAAAAGTCAATTATAATAATGATAGAAAAGCCGGGGAAAGACCACACGATCCCCACGTCATATAGACCTATAAGCCTACTCTCTTGCCTATCCAAACTCTTTGAAAAATGCCTAATGACTCGGATAAACACATACCTGAGAATCCAGGAAGGAATCCCGTCACACCAATTTGGGTTTCGTGAAATACATGTAACAATTGAGCAGGTCAATTGAGGGCTGCGACCTCATAACTCCCAAAATTATCATTGATCATGCTCCCATACTGCGCCGTTTGCACTCTCACCCAGCTCTTTAATGCCATCGCAAAACTTGGCCACTTTCCCGTGAGATGGAAAAAGTCAATTATAATAATGATAGAAAAGCCGGGGAAAGACCACACGATCCCCACGTCATATAGACCTATAAGCCTACTCTCTTGCCTATCCAAACTCTTTGAAAAATGCCTAATGACTCGGATAAACACATACCTGAGAATCCAGGAAGGAATCCCGTCACACCAATTTGGGTTTCGTGAAATACATGTAACAATTGAGCAGGTCAACCGGATAACATCAGAAATTCGAAACGCTTTCGAAAAACGAGAGTACTGTACTGCCATATTTTTAGATTTTTCTCAAGCATTTGATAGAGTCTGGCTAGAAGGTCTAATGTACAAGATCAAGACAATGCTCCCCTACAGCACCCACAAGATTTTAGAGTCTTACCTTCACGACAGAAAATTTGTTGTGAGTTGCAACACTGCTATATCTGATGATTACACTGTTGGAGCTGGAGTTCCTCAAGGTAGCGTGCTAAGGCCAACACTATATGTCCTCTACGCAGCAGACATCCCGACAAGGACACGTCTAACAACATCTACGTTTGCCAATGACACAGCTATTCTTAGCCGTTCTAAATGCCCGATTCAAGCAACTGCGCAGCTAGCTCGTCATATGGTCGATGTTGAAAAATGGCTATCAGATTGGCGAATTAAAGTGAACGAATTAAAATGCAAACACGTTACGTTCACTCTGAACAGGCAAAACTGCCCGCCGATTACGACAAAAAACACTCTACTCCCACAAGCAAACGAAGTAACTTACCTAGGAGTACATCTCGACAGAAGACTCACATGGCGCCGGCACATTGAAGCCAAATGAACACACCTAAAGCTTAAAGCCAGCAGCCTTCATTGGCTTATCAACGCCCGGTAACCTCTTAGCCTTGAATATAAAATCATGCTGTACAACTCGGTACTAAAACCTATATGGATGTACGGCTCCCAGTTATGGGGGAACGCCAGCAATAGCAACATTGACATTGTTCAGAGAGTAGTTCAGTCGAAGATCCTGAGAACAATCACCGGGGCACCGTGGTACGTTCGCAACGAAAACATACACTTAAACATTCAACCAGTCAAAGAAGTGATCGCAGAACAAAAGGTAAAGTACTTCACCAAGCTATCGGTGCACCCTAACCACCTGGCGGGAGGTATAACAAGGTTGAGCAATCAATCACGCCTTCGTCGCAATGACCTACCCACCCAGCGACCGACCTGAGGGACGTGCAACCAGAATGCAGTCTTAGTATACTGTTAGTTAAATTTTAATGTTAAGATTCAACTTATAGTTAGTCTCAAAATTAAGAGTAGATTCAATAAATAAAAGCAATGCTATAATATAAAAAAAAAAAAAATTTCGGCCAGCCTCTTGTCGATGAC